GGGAGGCGATTGTCAGATCAGCTGCTGGAACCAGCCAGGATTATCAGTCAAAAAAGGAGGGGCCTTATTGCTGGTGCTTATTACTTATGTACTCGTATATAATTTGACTGAAACCACTGGACCGGGTGTACCTAGTACCGTGAGTGGTATGATGTGTACTGGTCATATCGGCGACACAGTGATGCATATATACCCTCTCAGCCTGAGCAAGCATATTGTAGGATCGTCCAAGGTTGTACAACCGATTCCAGTAGAGCCAGGAATGCCAGGATTGATGAATTCACTCGTCTGGTGACCACATCTGTACTTTTTGTTGGCCATGTAGTATATACCACTACCTCCTCTTTATCCCATTCCAACCCCAAACCAGAACGCCCTCCCCCTCCAGTCCGTGTCCTTTCCCCGCAGTCTTAATTCTTCCTTCTCATGCCATCATGGTCTCGTGCGACTTCCCCTTCTTCGGTTGTTCCAAGCTTGTTCAGTGATTTCTCTGCCGTCGAACGGGAAGCGATCACTGCTGCGTCTTGTCCTTTCCTACTATTCTGTCACTCTAGCACGGAGTCGCTTCCTGGTGTTGATTGCTTCTTTTATTCAGAAGTAAGGACCTGACTCGAGCCGTATCATCAACATTGACGATACCCCCTATCTGCTACGGTTTCTATTCCTGAGACGAGCTGATTAATTGTGACGCTCCACTGTTGTTGTTGTTGTTGTTGCTGTTGCTGCTGCTGCTACTCCGTGCTTGTTCTTGATTCTGCCTTCACGGAAAACAAATTGTACCGCTGAACCACAAGCGACAACGGACAGAGCAAAAGAGGATAGAAACTTTGGTGGCTGTCAAAGAGGCCAAAAGACTAACTTATTACTCTACCGACCAAACGGTGATGATTTGATCGAGGATCAGCTGCTAACCGTGGAATGAGCGTGGTACTGCCTCGAGAGAAGCTCGCGTGAGGGCCTCGGAGTCGGATGCACCCCTCGTCACTAAAAGTACCCGCCTGGCCGTTGGCTTTTGCTCCGTCCAGCAAAACGACGACAGCATGACCGATGCGCCTTTTCCCCCTTCCGGTGGAGCTCGAGGAGCTCCTCCTCTGTCAACCTCATATTCCGGTCCAAGCATCTCATCTATTCCACGCCGTTCTTCCTACGCCTCAGTCCTGTCCGGGACTGCTCTCTCGCCACCAAGCAACAGTAGTCCTCCTTCCCATCTTCTTATCTCGAACTCCACTTCATCATACCCCCCACCCTTTTACCCCGACGGCCGACTACTGAGGCCTTCCTCCTCCGCCTTGGATGCAGATATGCAGTTAAACTCCCCCTGGAGGACAGCACCTGGCGATTCACTTCCTCCTTATTCTCGGAAGTTTGCCAATCTCCCTCGCTACGATACGTTCTTTCAGTCACCAGGCAGCTTTTCCGATACCTCATCATTTACTCCGTCCTATCTCCGCAACTCCCGATACATCGCTCGCCTTGAGGCCGCTCGCCGAACAAAGCTCGCTTCTCAACGGGACGTTCCATCTTCCGCTTCTACCTCAAACCCTCTCTCGACTTCCTCCAGCCATGCAAGCTTGCCTCGTATAGCTCCTTCCCATCGTGGGATGACGTATGATATCATAGAAAGGGAACCGCCGAGCGACGACGATCATCTCATGCCACTTCCCTCACGATGGAGCGATAGTGATAAATACTCCGGTCTGGAGCTCACAAACGGAGGGCTTGAGATTCGGTATCCAGGTCCGGCTAACAAGCACGACCACGAGGCTGCTGCTGTCCGTGCGGATCACCCCATGCCCCCGCAGTGTGGCATTTACTACTTTGAGATTACTATTCTCTCAAAACCTAAGGAAGGGTATGTACTGCGCCCTGAATTGACGAGGTGATAACTTCTGGGCTTGACGAACATGTGCTGATAGTGTGCAGGATGATCGGAATCGGGTTTTCGAGTAGCAAAGCGTCCGTTGAGAGGCTTCCCGGGTGGGAGCAAGAATCTTGGGCATACCACGGTGACGATGGCAAATCATTCTTCGGGGAGAGTCAGGGACAGGGACGACCGTACGGCCCGACGTTTGGTGCAAATGATACTGTCGGGTGTGGTGTTAACTTCGCCACCGGATGCGCTTTTTTCACCAAGAATGGCGTCTTCCTTGGTATGTCGCCCGCCTTGATGTTCGCCTTACTTGCACTGAAACTAACTTTCTCGATAAGGAAATGCCTTTCGTGAATTAAGAAATTTGAAAGTCTATCCCTCTGTGGGGATGAAAAAGCAACCACCTGTGCACTTGGCCGCCAACTTCGGTCAGCAGCCGTTCATGTACGACATTGACGGCATGGTCAAAGTATGTTCCAAAGGTATCTCCGCTGGATGTTAGCATAAAGTCTGACTTCATTACGTAGAGAGAGAAGTTCTCCATTCATTCAGAGATCTATGCAACAAGCACGGCCAACCTACAACCACCGCTTGATGAGAACGCTTTGCTTCAAGAATTAGTCGCACAGTTCCTGGCTCATGAAGGCTATGTTGACACCGCTCGGGCTTTCTCAGACGAGGTTGCTGCGGAGTCAGCGGCTTTGGAGAATGGTCGAAAGGAGTCCCTCAAGAAGTATGAAGTGGAGGAAGGACTTGACGCGATCAACCGACAGAGTAAGATTACACCTCCTTTTTGTTGATGTCCGACTGTTGTAAGATAGACTGACAATGCCGCGTGTAGAAATTCGTGCTGCCATACTAGAGGGTGACATCGACAAGGCTCTCAAGTACACACATGCCTACTATGGGAACGTTCTAGAGAGCTATCCTCACATCCAGTTCAAGCTACGGTGCCGCAAGTTCCTCGAGATGATGCGGCGCTGCAATGAGATTTCCTTGACAGCGTTGAAAAAAGGCAAAGCATCCAACGGACTTTCCGATGGCAGTGCGGTGTTCGACCAGGAGATGGAACTCGATGAGCAATTGCACGAAGGTGACGGCTGGGATACCGAGGGCATGGATACCGAAGAACCTGAGAGCTCAGAGAAGTTCCATGAGCTTCTCACCGAAGCGGTTCAATATGGGCAGCAGTTACGCATGGATTATCCAAACGACGAGCGAGGCGGCGACAAGAAGGTGCTGGATGACATCTTCTCATTGGTTGCCTATCAGGATCCGAAACGATCAGTGCACGGCCACTACCTTGATCCTGCAGGACGCCTTGCTATTGCGGAAGAGCTTAATTCTGCAATTCTAGGTCAGTTGTGCTTTTTTTCGTGAGCTTCAATGCAGTCGATTGCTGACACGGCTTCTCTGAATAGTGTCATTAGGGAAGCCATCTTCAGCCGCTCTGGAGCGGCTTTATCAACAGACAGAGGTGCTTGTCAATGAGATTAGTGAAGAGGGCGGCGCTGGGGCGTTTATCAATGTGCGAAATGATTTTTTGCTTTAAAGTGATTGCCAGCGATATAATAGGAGCACCTGAATTCATAATTCTGGAGGTTCATGGTGGCATACGAGAATGAAACTACAACCTTTCCCCTCATACTTGAATAGTCTACTCAAGGATCAAGCGACCGTTGTCAGACAGAAGCATCAACTTACGTAGTTATTTAACCGGGGACAAATATAATCAACGTTGTTGTACCGAGTACTTGCACCACGTAGCATAGCATTACATGGAGCAGGCATGGTTAACGTGGTGGCTGGGCCTCAATGAGAGACAACGACGCTCGGCGACTGCTCTTGTGTCTAATGAAAAGCCAAAAGTACCCGATCTCATCAGCAACGATAATGAGAGGAAAAGGGACTGACTCAAAAGAGTTGTTTCATCTCACTATGCCTTTTGGTAGATGATCATGGCTCTTAATTCAGGCTGCTTCAATGCAGACATAGCTGCACATAATTATGTAAGATGTTTGCCTAGTTCTTCAGGTGTCTCACAGCACCTACCGTACGGTACGGATACCTAGGTAGGGATGAATCACCAATAGCCCAGTAAGGTAAGGTAATGTAAGGTAAGTACGGTACGTTGTTATGTTCACATGTTCATTAGGTTTGCTCTCTCCGCTTTGATGCATAATTAACGACCTGCCTTTCTTCAGTTCTTGCTAGGCATATAATCACTGTTATTATTTACTTATAATAATCACTTAGTACCAGTACAACTATAAAGAAAGCATCATCATCATCATCATCGTCGTCGTCGCATCTCTCTATGATGTCTCTTTGCATGGTTTAACATCTATCTACCTATCCTTCCTTCTGCCCCACCAACACCTCAGCTTCGATGAACTGGCGCCTCCGCTCCAGGTCATCGCTCCGTCAAGGGGTGCCAACTCATTAGCTATCTGACCAGTCTACAGAACTGACGGACTGACGGACTGACAACCTCTTCTTGGAAAGGTCGCATTCCTTTCCCTGATCTCCTCAAGGGCCATGGAATCTCATTCCCGGCCGCATAGTCCGGTTCCTGCAGGCCAGGTTCCCTGCATTCCTACCCACTCCTCAGCTCCCGCCGTTCTTCGCTGTTGTTGTGGCCGTAATGATTGTGCGTTCCTCCATAATAATAATCTTGCCTTGGAGGGATTGGAGAAGGATCTTGAAACCGCTGCTCGATTGGGCCAGGTACGTTGGTGACTCACTTTATCTTACTGTTCCTTTGTCTCCCGAAAAGAGGCTTTATACACGTCAGGCCTCCATCATAAGTACCTGGTTGTTATGAGATTGCGCACATACCTCAGTCTTCTGTATATACACATACTTTCGCACATTCTCCCGGTGGAGGGGCATTCGCTTCCTTTACATTATTAGCTTTGGCTCTGGAATTCTTGTCCATATTCCCTGCCCATATCGGGGATTGGGCGACTATCCAAAAAGAACACAGACGCATTTATTCTTACCCGTTGTGTCTTGCTTAATTACTCGCCCTCCATGGCGTCTCAGGGACTGCGGTCCCCGATTCTCTCCCACTGTGTTATAGTCCGTCATCGCCGTCCAAGCAGATAAACCTGCAGCGGATCTCCCCCCAATGAACTCGTCATCGCTAACCTTTGCTCTCCAGGCTCTGCTCCATCGCCATGAGTCGTACATGGCCGAGGCGGAGGAAGATCGCCGGCGGTTACTCACCAACATTGAGAATCTGGAGCGTGAAAAGCGCCAGGTCGAGGCCGAGAATGCCCGCATCATCGAAGAGAACCGTGGCTTGTTGGAGCAGTTAGACAGTCTGAACAAGGCTGTCGCGGAATCGGACGCTCATGCGAAGTCGCTCGTCGCTACGCTGGACAGTACAGAGGCCGAGCTGCGCAAAGTGACTATGTCGGCCGCCCGCGCCGCGGAACTCGAAGTCCAACTGGCCCAGATGGAGGCCGAACAGTCGAGACTGCAGGAGACTTTACAGAACGCCCAGGAGGATAGCAAGTCGGCCGTGCAGCGATGGAAGAAGGCTGAATGTACCCTCCGAGATTTGCACGATCAAGTCGACCGAATCGAGAAGGAGGCCCGGGAGGAGCGTGAACGACACACCGAACTCATCCAGCGCATGGAGCGGAGAAGGGCGGTGGAGCGCGAGCTTGACGGTGCGGCTGGACGCTTAAAGGGCGCTGCTGCCGCGCAGGAGTTAGGTCGGAATCACGGCAACCCTAATGTCGTCTCGCGCTTCGTTCGGGACATCCTCCAGGATAATGCGAATCTGCAGATGGGCATCATAGAGTTGCGGGAGATGCTCGAAAGCTCGAACCAGGAGGTGCAGAATCTGCGGGATCAGATCCTGTCGCATCAGCCCCTGACTTCAGCCGGTGAAGACGATGAGCGAGAGCCGCGGCCGCCATCAACGACATTGAATCATGAACTGGAACCGAAAGAATCGCGCCGCGTATCGCAAGAATTCCATATTCACCATCATTACCACACCCCCTCCATCTCGGTCGGCTCGAAGAAGGACAAAACTACCATCTTCCGTCGATCCAAGAAGAGACGGTCTCTGGGAGCCGCCACGGTCATGCACTCTGCGTCGACCTCCCAGATGTCCCGGAAATCCTTGCACCAGCCCCAGTCGTCCGTCTCCTCGACCTCAACTATCTTGTCTCAGACATCTGTTTCAATTCCGCCAGCCGCGGCTTCCCACCGTTGGTCACTGCGATCACCTGCAGCCGATTCCTCGCTAGCGAGCTCGCCACAGTCAGGGTATCGAGCATCATCCATCTTTGACCGGGTCGAACGCGGTTCCGAATCGTCGCAACCGACTAGTCCCGAAAGCACCGCCTTCTCGTCTCCGATAATGGTCTCTCGCCACAAGAGCGTCCCCTTTGATATACCTTTCCGGCCTCTGGATGGACTTGATGGAACAGAGAGAGTCGGTGATGATTCGATGCACATGGCATACGACTATTTTGGTGACCATACGAACTATGCAGAGCTGGATCGGAGGCCGCTCCAGTCGGTGATACCCGAGGAGATGGAGGATTCCTCGTCTACGCAGTATGCAGAGTCGGTCCCTGACCGGCCTCCCGCAATCCCCGACGATGTGTTCTCAACACCGCACAGTCCCACCCTGCGCAGACGTCAATCCCACGAGAGCCTCTTTTCAATTGCGGGCATGGACATTCACACACCCAGTCGCCGCCCCTCGCGAATCAGCGACCATCTTCAATCCAGTTTGCCCATTCGCGCTCCACGCCGCATCATTTCGCCTAGCCCGGAGCTCTTCTCACCATCGCCCGTCATTTCAACCAGCACGGTCACGGCGGATCGAGAGCCACCAAAGACCTCCGAGCATTCCCCCCGAAAGTTCCTCGCTACGGTCGCAGGCCGCAACCGCGCCGCGGATGCATTATGGGCTGTGTCCGCGGACAGCGGCTCGACCGAGTCTACTGTCACTCCCAACCGGAAGACCTCGCTGAGTCGTCGAGTGGGAGGCTGGGTGCGAGGTCGTTGGGGCATCGCTGCTGTCTCTGCAGACGGGAATGCTAAGCCTCAGGTCGAGTCGGATGCTTTGGCCCCGGAAAACACCGACTCGCCAGGACCTGCCCGTCCGTCTTCTGCCGGGGCAAGAAGGAGCAGGTCCAGCTTCGACGCTGTCCCGAATCTGCGATACAGGTACCCGGGTGTCAACCAGACAGGACCGATCATGGGCCTTCGACCGCCCCCGCGAGCTCCTGTCTTATTGCATGCGGAGCAACTGGATGAGGGACTTTTGAGGGAGAGCTTGGCCGAGTAATTATCCTCGGGGCTCTACCAATCCTCATTCCCTTTCGGCTTTCAATTGTCTATCATTTTCATCCTTATAGTCGGCTTGTCGACATTATATTGCTACATTTGCATCTCGCTGTATGACCCCGAATGATCCCTTATACCTCATTCTTTGCATCTAGCCACGGATCTGGAGTACCGTTATTTTGGTCACATTTTCCTTTACTTTTTGATGGTCTATATGATACCCCTACAGCGGCCCCTTTCTTATGTTTCGCTTGCCTTATAGCTTTATGCTTAGCTACATGCCACAATTCATAACCTTCATTCAAACCACCATACCAGTATGTAATTACCTATGGACGAGAAACGAAGATTGCCGCCAGGCACATACCTCTTCTTGTATAGAAGCCGCCTACATTTTCACAAAAGTGTAGAGGTTGTATTCGTGACTCCGTCACACCAGAGACATCATCAATAATCATGCGAATCATCTACCACACAAATCTATCGCGTGTCATACCACACGCCTCGATATCCGATACGTACGAATGGGAATACTAGTCGAATGGAAGAAGCCCGTTTGCGTCTCCGCAGAGGGAGACTGATACGGCATGCATTCTACCTGGAAATCGTTCGTTTCTGCGCAAAACCCTTTAGAAAGTGAACCTGGATAAGTTGGATTGGGTCGAGGCACTCACCACAGGCGTTTAGGAACGTCTGAAAGGTATCCTGGTTCCGGAGCGTCGCGGAGATGATGAATTCCTGGAGGTGGTAGTTTTCGAAGAGATCGCGGATGGTGGACAGGAGGAGGGGGACGAGGTCGACGTCGTAGATCTTTTTTGGGGGGGGTTATTGTTAGCCAGGTCGGGTTGCACCACGCCTTGTATTTTCCTATGCCTGTAATGCGAGACATTGAACCCACGAGCCAGAGAGTGATCATGTGCACTTACCAGGTCAGCACCGAGTGCAACGTCAAAGGCCAGACCACCGTTGACTGACACCGCGGCAGTCTGTGCAGCCTCGCCCTCGCGCTTGCCCTCCTCCGGAGGAGTCTGAGTCGGAGTCAAAGACAAGGGTGTCCCCCACTCCCAAATCGCAGGATGGAAGACAGCAGTGTCGAGCGCATTCCGCAGCATACAATCGCGGATATTCTCGATGAGGGCCGGCTCGCGGTCCGTGACGACAACGCTCTGCACGGCGAGATGTCTGGCGCAAAACATGGACAGGAAGCCCGTGCCGGCGCCGAGCTCGATGACCCGTTTCCCGCGCACGAGGGCCTGCCCGGCGGGCGTGGAGAGAAATGAGCCGAGATGCAGGGCTGCTTCCCAGGTGCGGAAGCCTGTTGTCCCTGCGGAGAGGATCAGACCGCGTGATTCGGAGGTGATGATTGTGCGGGTGCGGTTGCTCCTGTGTTCTTCAGAAGGATCTCCATCTGCAGCTGCATCTGAAGCTGGGGCTGTGTATTTGACATAGGCCAGTTGCTGGGCTTGCTGGAGGGCTGATGGCTTTGGCTGGGTCACGAGCGTGCTCCAGCATTCCATGAGATCATCTGAGATCTCCTAGAAGAAGAGAGATGTCAGAATCCGAGCATGAAGTGTAAGGATATGTCTACTGGTAATCGATTTCAGAATTATTGCATACAAAGGGCTGTGTAAGCCGGGGCTACTCAACGTAACGTGGTACAGAGGGTTCTCATACATCCTCCTCAGGATCAGAAATGGACTCTTCCAGTATAGACAGAATAATCTTTAGAACACGAGCCCGGTAGTTCACGGGAGGAATGGGCCACAGAACCGCCTCGTTGAACATTCGTTCGTAGAGGGCTGACTGAGTGGCAGGTTTGATCATGGTCCTGCCATCGGGGAATTCTAGAAGGTGGGGTTCGACCAGCTGGAAATATTGCGCGACCAGTTTGTCAATGGAGATGCATTTATCATTCCGATCGCCATCCTCAACGGAGGATGATACAAGGGACATATTGCCCTTTTTCTCCGTTTCCTGTTCAATTGATCTCATACAAAGTGCTTAAATACGTATGGAGGGATACAAAATGTATGGCCCAGTCGGGTCAGGTGCACGCTAAACCGCAACGGGCTAGCGGGTGCCCTAGCCGAGCCCACAGCTGGAACTGCACAACGAAACGGAAGCAAAATTGAATCGCATTTCGAGAAACCCGGCAACGACAGCAGCGACTTCGACAATCCCCCCAAACCTCTCGTCCCTGTCGAGTTTCTGCTCCTTTTCTCGCTCGCAGATTCTCGCCGCTGGTGATTCAACTTTCTCGTCAACCCACTCACCGCAATCATGGCCGATACTCCCGTTACCCTGCGGACTCGCAAGTTCATCCGCAACCCCCTGCTCGCCAGAAAGCAGATGGTCGTGTAAGGAACCCTTTTCTTCCTCCCTATCTCGCGCTTGAGAATTTCCAGGGAGAGGGTCCCTTCTGGTCAAAATTTTTTCAAGTGATTTGTGGTGGAAGAAGATTTTGAGTGTGGAACACGCGGAACGGCAAAAATACAATGGCAAGAAATGGCGATGATATTGGAGATAAACGGGTCAACTATCATCTTGGAGTATCATCATGGAGGAAGGACCTGGAAATTCTCAAAGCACAGATGCAAAGGACATTCTTGTCGTGATGGTGGTGATGAGTTTGATGACGATTCTAACATCGACTTTTTACAGGGACGTCCTCCACCCCAACCGTGCTAATGTCTCCAAGGACGAGCTCCGCGACAAGCTCGCCGAACTGTACAAGGCCAACAAGGACCAGGTCTCCGTCTTCGGTTTCCGCACTCAGTACGGTGGTGGCAAGAGCACTGGCTTCGCCCTCGTCTACGACTCCCACGAGGCCCTGAAGAAGTTCGAGCCTCACTACCGCCTGGTCCGCATCGGTGCCGCTTCTAAGATCGAGAAGGCCAGCAGACAGCAGCGTACGTTTGACACACCACCCGCTAAGCATCCTCGAGATTGGATCAGACATACATAGATGCCCTTCATATCTCTGGGGGGTACCCAATCTAGCATCGCTAACATCTCTCTTCCCAATTTACAGGCAAGCAACGGAAGAACCGTTCCAAGAAGTTCCGCGGTACTGCCAAGACCAAGGGACCCAAGAAGAGCAAGGACTAAATGCATTCGGCTTGATCCTGGTGAAGGGAGTTGGAGGTGGACTGGGATATGGGGACGGACGACGCGGCCAGGGGCTGACCCTGCTGGATGTGATAATAGCGGTGTTTTCGGTGGCGCATACTGTTACGCCCTTTATCATGACCATGACGATAAAGACAGGGAAAATTCGAGATTTGGGGTAATTCTCTGGGATGAAAATTCATTTTCCTTTTTCTTTTCCTTCTTTCCTTCCTCCTCTCTATCGCCTCTGGTTTTTTGGACCAGAACAGGCATCCTTCAATCATCTCTCTTACCAATAGCACCTACCGCCAGTCACTCATATCAGAAGCCTCCAGCATCGGGACTCAGTCGGTCGATGTACTGTTAAACAAAAAGCAACAAAAGATCTCCTCCAGTTATTCCTTGTCTTTATCTCCGGTTTGCTTTTGGACGATGGTAGATCCTGGCTGGGCCGTAGACCACCGCTATTTGCAAGAAAGACATATTTGTCTCATGTTTCGTAGCCACCAGGAATTGGCAGCATATTCAACGCCCGCTTATGTTCGGTCGTTGAATGATCTGACCTGTGGAATTATACACATCGAAACACCCCTCTGGTAATCACGCCCTCTTATACATATCATCGACTTTGACCAGTGATATGCGAAGTCCTGATCGAATCAGACCAACATACATAGGCTAGCGTGAAGGATATCACGGATCTTTAACCATAAATACAACAACTTACGTTGGTGCTCAAATGTAGGCAATTATTGTCATTCCTGGACCATACCAGGGAGTCTAGACACAGGTACATACTTTGTGCTAATCAGTCCGATTATAGATAGAATATGACAAATTATAACAAGTAAAAGAACATGTCATAACTCCCGCCACTCAGTAATCGAAAGAATGAGAAAGAGTAATCTGCCACCCACACTGCCGCTAGTTTCCCTAACAAACAACTGACGCATGAAAGGAAGACAAGTAAAAACAAAGATCGCCCACCCTGGACCAATACTCTACAACCTCCAATATTAGTGTAACATCTCGATCTGTCGAAGTGCAGAAAAGCACAGTGAGGCATGCGCAGCAAGATTCGACATAGATACTAGCATCACTGCCAACTGAATGAGAAGAAAAGATGCGAGAAATACAAATTAAAAACAAGAAAACAAGAAAACAAGAAAATGAGAAAATGAGAAGATCGCAAACCTGCCATCGGCGAGAAGCAGAGACCAAACTGTTCTCTGCGGAAGACTTCTCTGCCCCAACACGTTCCCTATTGATCTGCAAATTAATGACGCGTCCAACTTCAGAAGCCACCCGGGTTACTCAGAGCTGAGACGGATGTTCGCTGCAGCTCGGCTGATGCTCGATATTCCGGTAAGACATCGGTTGCGAGGAGGTCAAATGGTATGGTGCTATGAGTATCCGCATGCCTCGGGCGAGTGTAGGGAAGGCCGTTCATCAGGGTAGCCGTGGATCCAGTATCGCCCGTCTCAGACCGGTTCTTGCTCTTTTCACTGCTGCTATATCCGTAGATATCGGAGCCACAGCCCATCATAGATACGAAACGTCCTCTGTCCCGGGGAAATGATCTTATTGATCGGCCTTCTGTGCTCGCTTGGAAGTCATCGGTTGAATCAAGCGTCTCGAAAGTGGTGAGTGCTGTACCAGTAGAGGGGCCAAGATGTGAGGGCGGCCCAGCCGATGTTATGGGCAGATAATCGAACATTATGTCCTGTGCACTTGACTGACTCGCCTTCCTTTTCTGGTTCAAGAGGGTACCACCAAAGTTCCCGTTCGAGCCAAGCTGCATGCTCGGGCGGCCACTACTCGAGATGGAGGCTCTTGTGGCTAGATGATGTCCATATCTATATTCCGGGGACAACAGCAATCCGGACATGGCTTCAGGAGTCGCGCTTAGAGAAGATATACCCATCTGGAGCTGGCTGCGGCCGGATGCTTTTGGTAACGCCTGATCGGCGCTTTGTCCATCAGACGGCGTGCATGCCATTGTTGGTACAATGGGAACGTCAGTCGATTGAGTTCCTTGGCCTGAGAACAAGAAGGGATATGAGGATGAGGTAATGGTGTTCTCTGCATCTTGGGTAGGGAACGCTGCTCCGCTCTGCGCCTTGTTGATCTGGACGTTAGAATTCCATGCCTTGGTGTTCCATGCAAGCCCACAATAGTCCGCCAGGATACCTTGCTGCGAGCTGGGAAACATGTATGATGACTGAGGATTGTATGCAGTCGGCTCATCCTCGTAGTTGGCCGTGTGATCAAGACTGAAAGGCTGTCGGCTAGATGAATGCTGAGGGCCGAATGTACCTAGATCGTAACCAGATGGTCGCGAGAAGGACCCAAACCGCACACCGGGGGAGTTTGTCGACACTAGTCCAGGCCTTTGGGCCACATGTGGATACACTCCTAGCCGTTGGGATGGAGAACCATACGGCCACCCAGCCACCACTTTTGTCTGGAGCATTGATGAATTGACCTTGCAAATATCAGCTCGCCAATCTCAGTGAGAACATATCCTCATGCAGGCTAGTGTCATCTTACCCTTAAGAACTGGCAATTCGTATTCCCAGAGGCCTGGCAGTTCGAACATCCTTGTCCATCACCAATATCCCCGCTGCATTTGATCTTCCTTTTGCGACATCGATTGCACTGCGAGTATCAGGACATGTTTTCCTCTTTCTGTTCAAAATCTACCAAAACTATACACTACTTACTGCGACTTGGATACGGCGCCTGGTAGAGTTCCGACTTCTGCCGTCGATCTCTAGAGCAGGACTCACGGAACTCGTGCCTCTCTCCACCAGCTCCTGTTGGCCATCCTGTCGAATTGAAGGTGATACTGAATGAGCCTCATGTCTGGATTGTTGATCAAGACCGACCTCATCCCCTGAGGGGTAGTAAGGATGGGCCATGACTTCACCGGTTAGTGTTGGGTTGTTCCTGAGTCTGAGACTCACATTCAAGTCAAGACAGGTCCGAGGGGGTGGGAACAGCTTCTCTCAAAGGTTAGCTGGGAATTCGAAGGAGGTCTTTGAATTAGGATAATTTTGTCCAGCATGTTCCGTCGGCCTCAGGTAGGAACTGGAAAAGGAACCGGGTAAAGATGAGAGGAGGGGGGGCTTCAATCGGAATCAAGGTCTGATTTTAAGCCCATGTGTTGGCCATCTGGTGTTTCCTTCTTTTTTCTTTTTCTTCTTCCTTTTTTCGAACAAAAAAAAAATCTTTGGCTCTTATTCCCACCCTTTCTGACTGGACCATTCGAAGGGGATATTATAGATCAATCATGAGCTTACCTCAAGTGCCCTCAGTGACTAGTGGAGGTCACTTCATGACTCTTCAATCTAGGAAGATGGTCAGTTTGATACCTGAATCTCCAGTCTTTTGTTGTACCAGGAGAGCATATGCATTCTTCCGTGTTGCATTTAGTTCCAACATCAAGTAGGTTGGACTCCCCAGAAGCACGCTGATAGAAGGCCAGACAGGCAGAATCAAAGGCGTTTTAGAGGTTCTGTTTCACAGAGTAACGTTGCACGAGACGAACATGACCTGATGGTAACCACAGAAGGGCCTAGGAGTCTAGGCTGGTGGACTTGGAGCTCTCTGCGCAAGATCCCCAATCAATTGCCACCAAAAAGCACAAGAAGCTCCACCATAATCTTTGCCTCCAGGACTCTTGTCTCAGGAAGACGATATGCTTCCTCTCTCCAAGAGCACAATAACGCGATATGCCAAATCAAGATGAGAACTCAGGTTGTTGCAGAGCGGATAGCCGCTGATTACGTTTGCATGAATTCCCAAGAGCAGTATCTATCTAACGACTCCCGAGCTGGAAGAAAGACTAAAGAAGCATGTTTGCCCATTGAAATAGGGTGCTGGTTGGGAAGCCTACTGGCCAGGCTTTGGCAGTCTTTAGCATCAAACAAACATCTTCTGGGAAGTCAAAACTCTGCCAGTACTTTTGACATCAGTCTCTAATTTGAGCCAAGTGTCAAGAAGACTGCAGTGAGCACTTCACTTGGAAGCATATTAACATCTTTGCGGATGTGGAAACGGTTGCCTTTCAGACTCGCGACACACGCAAACGCATAGTCTTGAGGAGCTCAGTTTGATGTCTCGGATAGCTCGATTCCTAGAGTCCCAGCATGATTCCGACCAATGCTTGGGCTTGAATCAACGTGATTGAGCCACACAAGGGCTAATGGGAGCTCAAGACCATGACTGAATGAATCAGGAAGCAAGTCTTGGGAGGAAAGGCGGAATTAGCATGATTTCCAAGTCAGTGGCGCTATATGATTATCTAGCAGTGGCTGGATCGTCCCCTTATGTCTGCAAGTCCTTCTCGAACACTGGACAGGTCGAAATCAAGAACCGGAGCCGAAGGAAACAAGAAAGAGGGGACAGGGTTCTTAGAACACCAGAGAATCCAGAACACAATAATAAATCACAAAATGATTATGCAGAACTGGTCTTTTAGTCAAACAAGAAAATAGCAGGGGCGTGGGGCTAGGGGACGATTTAGTATGCACGAAGTTCAGGGGTTCATGGAAGACAGTATCTTTTCGAACTGGCACAGCCTGCCAATGCCTGGCTGGCAACTCACACGAACAAAGTTTTGCACTGCAATCCATCCCTTGATTGGAACAGTCTCAATGTGAGTGCACGTCAGTATAGCATAAGTCCCAATTGACTACTTCAACGAAACGACATCAAAGCAGCCAATAGTCTTGGTTGACATTTTGAAACTCAGCCTCCAGCGGCAGAATGTTTGTCCTGTCCTGCTTTTCTTGGGTATTTTCTTTCCTTCAATCCGATTGACTGAACAGAATCATGCTGAAGCAGGCTTCGAGCCTGGGCTTGCGAATGCTGCACCGGCAGTTCATTCGCCAATGCGACGTGGTCGGCTAAAGTGACTTCATTTCCGGACGTTAGAATTAGGATCAAAGGGGGGAAACGCAAAAAGCTTGTGCATTGTCCCCTGTGGAAAATCAGGTCAAAATTGACCGCTGTTGGGATTGGGACCAGCCACAAGATGACAGAAGTTAGTGAAACTTTTCCATAGCTCCTGAGTTCGCTCTCAAAAATTAGTCACAGCCTGTCGAAACGCAGGAGTAGGTCCAACAACATCCACGTGCTTTTTGGAAAACAATCATCCTGCCATTGCTGCTTATCCTTTTTCAGGGGGGGAGTCGTTGACGCTGTTAGGCTCTAGTACTGCAGGACAACCCATTGTCTTTCCTTCTCTTCAACGCCTCTGCTGTGAAACTCGCACCGCAAAGAAGGAGGGCAGAGTGGTACATCAGCATTGTTTTTGGCGCTTGAGAGTGTTAGAGATTGTAACCTGAAGAATAATGACAATTCACATCATAGGATTAGGTTGTCATTTCTAACTCGATTGCCTCTCAATGAATAACTTCAGTTGGGGCCAAACGACTGCGTCTCCAAGCCATCTGGATCGACAGTACTGAATTAGTCGCAGCAGCAAACAGTGACTGACTCCGACCCGCAAGTTAATCTAAATCCCCAGGACTTTCCCATCCAACGGGGACCCCCGGATGATATGCCGCCCGATTCAGAAAGGGAATTGGTTACACGAGGAGGCACCGGATCAGGCTTCCAAATGTGCAAGCACCTCGAAATGATCGATTCTCATTGACCGAGAGAGGTTCCGTTCCCAAGGCCTGTATGACAGTCAAAGCCTGCATCGACGTCTCATCGATCGTGAAGAATCCAGGATTGCTGTAGTGATCACCAATGCAATGATCGCCAAAGGCGACAAGGTCCCATCCCCGGGAGATAGACTAGATAATGGGTGGTGTCACTGGTGTGTGGTAGATGGACAGTAGCTCCAGGATCGACGGAGGCGTGTGGATTGACTTTCTTTCGGGGGGCGCGGCAGCGGGTCAGCCGCGAAAGTTGCACCTCACCTTAGCTTCACACGCTCCCTGCAAATCACCTTCAGCCCATCACTCATTCTACCTACCTGTATCCATTTTCAGTTCCTCTCGCACACCGACTTTGAAAGTTAGGCCTTTGACTTCTCTATCTGCGCAACTATCAACCATATCCTTGTCACTGCTATCTGTTTTCACACGAATCTGCTTCACCGTTTCCTTTTCCATCTACCTGCTGAGCGAGCGCATCGTCGATCTTTGCGGCATCGACTGCAGCCGCTGGTAGAACATCATGAGCGTACTTTTGGAGACCTCTCTTGGCGATATTGTCATTGACCTTCTGGTTGATGAGTCTCCTAAAGCATGTGAAAAGTAGGTTGTCCCAACACTCCCATGCTTTGTTTGTGGTGATTTTCTTTGTCTGTGTCTGTTGCTTGTTACAATGTCGAGTGGCTGAACTAGAAACTAAGCGATCCATTTTCTACCGGTGTAGCTTCCTGAAGCTATGCAAAGTCAAATATTACAATTTTTCGCCAGTTCATAGCGTGCAGAAGAACTTTACCTTCCAGACTGGTGATCCTCTCGGTCCCGATTCCCCGGAAAGCGATGGCGGGTCTTCGATATGGGGCTTGTTGGAAGGCCCCGTCAAGAGAACATTTCCCTTGGAACTGTCGCCGAAGCTGAAGCACACCGAGCGCGGAACCGTCAGTATGGCAACGGTCCCTTCCTCGCACGATCCCGACCAGCGCCTCGCTGCCAGTCAATTCATCATCACACTTGGGGATAACCTCGACTACTTGGACGGGAAAGCAGCAATCTTCGGGAAGGTTGTGGAGGGCTTCGATGTTCTTGAAAAGATCAACGGGGCCTTTATTGACGACCGAGGTCGCCCGCTGAAAGATATCCGTATCCGCCATACAGTCATCCTCGATGACCCTTACGATGATCCTCCTGGCTTAATGGCGCCTGCTGAAAGTCCTTTACCTTCAAAAGCACAACTAGCGACTGTAAGGATTGCTGATGATGAGGATCTGGATGACAACATGGATGAGGAGGCGATGGAAAAGCTACGGCGAGAGCGCGAGGCCAGAGCGCAAGCATTGACTCTGGAAATGGTTGGTGATCTTCCATTCGCAGAGGTCAAGCCTCCAGAGAATGTGCTCTTCGTCTGCAAGCTGAATCCTGTTACTCAAGGTATTTGTCTTTTTTCCACATTTGGGTAGAATTGGCCACCGCTAACTGTGAGTTTAGATGAGGATCTTCAACTGATCTTCAGTCGGTTCGGGCCGATTCTGTCTTGCGAAGTCATCAGAGATAAACGAACCGGTGACAGTCTACAGTATGCTTTTATCGAGTTCGAAAATCAAAAGGATTGCGAACAGGCTTACTTCAAGATGCAAGGGGTTCTGATTGATGATCATCGTATACATGTTGATTTTTCGCAGAGTGTGAGTCTGCTTCGAGCACTTCCCGTTGAACAGTGGTCTCTAATAAGGACATTACAGGTATCAAAGCTGTCAGAAAGCTGGCGAAATGCAACCATATCTAAACGCAGCGGCCGGAGAGGCGGCTTTGGCGGTGTAGCTGAGCTTGAGAAGAAGCGACAGTATCGGGCGACTGACCACGTCCGTGAGCGGGATGACTATGGCATGGTGTTCGATAAGGGCGAAGCTAGAAGGCGGCCTGCTTCTCGAGAGCGACGATACAGTCGAAGTCCCAAAAGAAGCTCTTATCAGGACAGAAAAGCCAGTCGCAGCCCGAGACGGGACTCGCATCGGAGCCGATACCGCGGTAGATCTGGCAGTCGAAGTCCTCGACGGGGAGCCTCCTATCGCGATAGAAATCATGAAAGGTCCTACAATGATGAGCGGCGTGATCGTCGCGATGATGACCGATATCGAGAAAGGCGACGTCGCTAGTCTCCGTATTTGGGAAGAGGCGGACTATTGGACAGCGATATACAAGTAGCCCTACATCAAGGGCGACCTGGTATCTTAAAAATTGGTCATGCCGCTCGATTGTCTGAAGCTTTGTTCATAATGCGGAATGTAATTCTAGCCTTCATATCAGATCAATTGACCCCGACCTATTTTAACTCACTCATCGACATGGAATTGTACCTTGGCCCCTAAGGGCTTCTTGCTCTTAGAGAAACTAGGTACGTTGTGTGGCACTAGTACTACTAACTAGTACCTTCTTTTCTCCTACTATTTATCTATTGGCCATTAGTCGGTGAAACTGGGTCTGCCGATGGTATGCCCCGCCCAGAAGGACCCAGAGGTCCAAAGACCCAGCTCAGATTGGCCATTCAGGGAGCTCGAATCGAGACAGTCATAGCTGGTATTTATATCATTCGTAGAACTGGGTCGGCCATGCTAGCTAAAAATAATAGCAGAAGATCAAATGGTTTCATCTTCCTGGCGGTCAGCGGATGGTGAAATAGATAGAAGTTAAAGGCCCAACATCCCAAGCTTCAGCTCAACTACACCCCGCACTCCTCAAAACAAAACGTCCCCATCTATTTCTCTTCTTACTTCTCCTACTCAACACCCCTCTTCATTTGATACCCTTTGAGGATTTGATCAAATCATCAATATGGCCGCAGCTATCAAAGAAACGGTCTCCAACCTCATGGAGAGATTCCATGGTCATCCAGAGAACGTTCCCCGTGAACCATCCGCTGAAGAGTTCCAGCAGCTTAGACAAAAGTACACCGATGCAGGCCAAGGACATGTCTTCGCATTCGTTGATGAATTACAAACCATCGAAAAGTCCCAGCTCTTCCACCAGCTATCGAACTTCGACCCTATTCGAATTAATGAACTCGCCGAGAAGACTCTGAACCCTCCCAAAGCTGAAGATGGGCCCACTTCCCTTGAACCCCTGCCGGACGTCGCTACTGCATCGATTCTCGACTCGGACCCCAAGGATATCCAACAATGGTATGATGAGGGACTCAAACTTGTGGCGGGTAACAAGGTTGCGGTCGTCCTGATGGCAGGTGGACAGGGAACCCGTCTGGGAAGCTCCGCACCGAAGGGTTGCTTCGACATCGGGCTTCCTAGTCACAAGTCGCTTTTCCAGATCCAGGCGGAGAGAATCGCTAAGCTCCAGCTGCTTGCTCAGAAGATTTCTGGCAAGGAGGCTGTCATCCCTTGGTATGTCATGACCAGTGGACCCACCCGCAAGCCCACGGAGGAGTTCTTCGAACAACACAAGTACTTTGGATTGGACAAGAGCAATGTCATCGTCTTTGAGCAAGGTGTCTTGCCATGCATCTCCAACGAGGGTAAGATCTTGATGGAAAGCAAGTTCAAGGTACGTTTCGCAGTCGCATACTATAGTTTTGCGGTTGTTAGTTTCTGACAGGGAGAAAATAGGTCGCTGTTGCTCCTGATGGAAACGGTGGTATCTATCAGGCCCTTCTGACATCCGGTGTGCGAGAGGATATGCGCAAGCGGGGGATTGAGCATATTCACACCTACTGTGTCGATAACTGCCTTGTCAAGGTGGCGGATCCTGTCTTCATTGGTTTTGCCGCATCGAAACAGGTTGATATCGCTACGAAGGTAGTCCGGAAGCGCAATGCCACCGAGTCAGTCGGTCTAATTCTACAGAAGAACGGCAAGCCCGACGTGGTTGAGTACTCTGAGATTGACAAGGAGACGGCGGAGGCCAAGGATCCCAAGCAGCCTGACGTGCTCAAGTTCCGTGCCGCTAACATTGTGAACCACTACTACTCCTTCAAATTCTTCGAATCGATCGAAACTTGGGCACACAAACTGCCTCACCACGTTGCCAGAAAGAAGATTCCTTGCATCAAGGAGAATACTGGCGAGTTCTTCAAGCCGGAGAAGCCCAACGGTATCAAGCTGGAGCAGTTTGTCTTCGATGTCTTCCCCATGACTCCCTTGGAAAAGTTCGCCTGCATCGAGGTTCGTCGTGAGGATGAGTTCTCACCATTGAAGAACGCGAGAGGCACTGGTGAGGATGACCCCGACACCAGCAAGCAAGATATTATGAGCCAGGGACAACGCTGGATTGAGCAGGCGGGCGGTGTTGTTGTTACTGAGGGCGATGCCGTTGGTGTTGAAGTATCTCCATTGATCAGCTATGTAAGTCCCTCCTTTCTCCCTTCATTTTCAGTCTCGTTGAAGAATCCTCGCTGATTAGGGCAATTTCTACAGGGCGGAGAGGGTCTTGAATTCCTGAAAGGCCGCGAGATCAAAGCACCAGCTTTCATTGAAAAGGAAGAGTAAAAAAGTCACGGTGGTTTTGTTATCATTCCCTGTCGGATTATTGACAGGTATACTTTAGTTCACTTGCATCAGAATGTCATACACAACCGAAGCATTTGCTAATATGTGGGTCTCGTTATCCGGTATGCTGGGTTGCTGACCGCAGCTGAGGAGCTTCCTAGATAGTATTTGTATCCCCTTTCAGTTTTCATCAGCTGGTATCAAATGTTGCATCATGAAAATGTTCAACTAATCTACTTTGCATTGTGATGAATCTCCCAGGAATGGAGAACATCCATCAACAGCAGCTGCTCGTCAGTACAGTAGCAGCAGTTGTCTAATTTCAGAATCCTTAGTCGAAAATATATACAAGCAGTTACTTTCCTCTGACAGTCGCATCTGCGAGGTTTATCTCTCAATATTTACAAAAGGGTAAGGCAAACTATGTACTAGTACTGCTCTATAAAAGCGCAGAGAAGCTGTATCTACCTTGAGCTAGGCTGACCATCGAGGAACGTGTGCCTCAGGCCGTGCGCAGTCTGGGGAGTCCGCAACCTTACGCAATGCGGGAAAGCCCGGGAGCTAAAGCTTTTCACGTTTTGCCCTGAGAAGAAAAAGCCCTGCGAAAAGAGTCTTGCTTGGCTAAATCGCTTGATTCAATTCAGTAACTGTCTTTTTTCACTTCTCTTTGTGCATTACCAGGAAATCTAAGGACCGTTCCCCTTTTTCTTTTTTTCCTCTTGTGGTTTGGAGGGATTGGAGTGCTGTGAGGGTTCAGTTTGAGCTGCATTGTAAGTTAACCTTTTTGTTGTGTGTGTCTGTCAGTCTCTTTTGGTGTTGGTCGCTTTTTCTTTGTCAGCCCACTTTTTTCGAGTCGAGAGTAGTGGGCTGTTGGAAGCGCTGCGCATCCTCCAAGGTTCTCAAGCTGACAGCCAAAATAGACCTATTGAGAAGGAGATTGAAGATCGTTGGTTTTCTGAAGAGTGAGTCTATTAAAATAAATTGTCTCCGTGACCCGGTGTTTGTTTGGCGTGCGTGGACTGGCTCGTCGCTGCTATGTTCTCTTCGGACATAGGGTCGCATTATCGTTGACTTGCCAATTCGACAACGAGAGATTGGACAACGAGGAGTCAGTCTGGACAGCATACACTGCGACTTTGTTGTTACAATAAAGATTGAGATGTGTCTCCGAAGCTTCCAATTGCTATACATCATGCATCGGACAATCAATGCGCAACAGACGCCTTCAGCAGCGGGGTTTCTGCAAAATGGCATCAGCTGAACTGACGGAAAAATTCATTCTATAGCTAAAACTACCGGAAAGATGTTGCTGTCTCGTCGTGCCTGCTACAAGTGTGGCAATATTGGCCACTATGCTGGTTAGTGCAAAGCCGGAGGGAAGCGTTTTGGGCTAGGACGACTGTCGCTGACTGACGTAGAGGTCTGCTCCTCGTCCGAGCGTCTCTGCTACAATTGTAAGTGCTTTGATTTAAAAGGAGGGCTTTTTTACCTGGCTAATGCGTCAATCCTTCATCAATTAGGCAAGCAGCCTGGTATGTACCTCGCTTGATACCTGTCCCCGAACCATAATGTCTGACCCCAAGCGATAGGACATGAGTCCAGCAGCTGCCCGCGTCCTCGTACTACCGAGAGTAAGATCCGTCCAATCTCAGGCTTTGGAAAGCGCAAGGATGTTGACTCGTCGATAATAGCCAAGCAGTGCTACAACTGCCAGGGACTAGGCCACGTTCAGGCCGATTGTCCTACTTTGCGTCTCAACGGTGGAGCTAACGGCCGCTGCTACAACTGCAACCAACCCGGCCATCTCGCTGTACGTCGCGGTCGACTATACTCTCTCTTCTTCTACCTTTTGAGCCCGGCTGACTTGGATGGTGCTCCAGCGCAACTGCCCCGCTCCTGCTTCTGCTTCTGGTGCTGGTCGTGGTGTCGGTGCTCCTCGCGGGGGATTTAACGGTGGATTCCGCGGTGGATATGGTGGTTACCCGCGTGCCGCCACTTGCTACAAGTGCGGTGGTCCCAACCACTTCGCTCGTGACTGCCAAGCTCACGCTATGAAGTGCTATGCTTGCGGCAAGCTTGTAAGTGCCCTCACATGCATGATCTCTTTGGGTAAGGCGTTAACTTACACTTTGAAGGGTCACATCTCCCGTGACTGCACCGCCCCCAACGGTGGCCCCTTGAGCTCTGCTGGCAAGGTCTGCTACAAGTGCTCTCAGGCCGGCCACATCTCTCGCGATTGCCCTAACAACGAGGCTGCTAACCAGCAGCCTGCTGAGTCGGCTGCTGCTCCTGCTCCCGCTGCCCCCGCTCCTGCTGCTACCACTGCCGCTGTTGAGGTCAGCGCCGAAGCTGCTCCTGTTACGGCCGCTGCTCCCACCGCCGCTGTCGCTTAAACGACCACCTTTATCTCATCTACGATTCCCGCTGCAAGGGAAGCCCATTTTCACTCCTCCTTTTTGTATTAGGGTTTTGCGGAACTCGATCTTGATATCTCTTTTTTTCCCTCTCATGTTTCTTCCATTGCATATATTATGCCACCGGTTTCAGGTTTCTCAGCACCGGCCTTTTTTATCACTATTATGTATACGACGAACAAAAGTTTCACGATGTCCCTAGGTTCCTGACGACTTGGATCCTACACATGGCTCAAAGTTCTCATGATTGGCGTCAATTGTTCTCCCCGGGTATCTTTCTCTTTTTGAATCAGATGGTGCGGCAAGGAAAGAAGGAGACGAGGCGAGGCGAAAGGTTAATTGAGCGCAGGAGAGACATTGGTGGACCGGAGTGAGCGTGTTGATATGTATAAGAAAGGGTGACAAGAAAGTACGGACGAATTTTATTGTGCTGAAGATTGTGAAAGACAAGGTACCTGGCGCGGTGTGGCTACCACATCTGCTCGTACTTACTGCCTCTCTTATGCTTATCCAGATGGATAGCCGAAAGAAGAAAAAACAAGAATCAATCAAACAAATGAAACTTCAACTTCATGAAAGTGCCGCTCTTCCTGGCTATGCTACGCCTTTACGACCACGTCTTTACTCTGCGTGGGCCTTGGACGACTCTTCCACTCCCACTGCACAGCGTCAAGTCTTGGAGATGATTTGCTCTATGTCCTGCTCGTCTTTTCTTTCATCATTATTACTACTTGAGACTTGGCTGCTCTGTGTTGAGTTTGTTCTGGTCTTGGAGCCCGGTTTCCTGTTACGGCCAGACCCCGTGACGACCGGTCTACCTCGCGTCTTCTATGTCGTCCCAGTCCTGCTCCAAGTCTCATCTACTCTGGATTTCAGCTAATCCTACTATATATCGTTGCTGTTATCATTCTATCAATATCTTCTTCTAAGTAACCATTACGAGCACTTGATAAGTCACCATGCCTGAATCGGAATCAGGGGATGAGTTCAACGACGATGTAGAGTCCTTCTCTTTTCCTGTCTTGTTTGCTGAAACACCAGGTCGCGTTATATGCGACTGAGGTGCGAGGTTTCAACAAACGGTTAACTCTTGATCACTTCAGGTCTTTATCGTCGATATCGACAGCATTCAGGCTCATGGTACACCTCATCCTACGGTGCGCATTCTGTTTGAGCTGACTGTGCTTTAAGGTATTGGCGCTGCAGACATCACGAAGCTCAAGGCAAATGGATTCTATACTGTCGCTGTAATGCATCCCCTCTGCTTTTTCTATGCTGTTATTGTGTCCTCACATGAATTCGCTCTCTTCATAGTCGGTTCACGGTGCCACCCGGAAGACGCTTCTTAAAATAAAGGGTTTTAGCGAGGTCAAGGTCGAGAAGATCAAGGAGGCTATACAAAAATGCTTGGTAAGGACTCCATTGCCCTCAGAATCACAGTGAGAAGCTCGTCTGACATTGCTTAGCCAGCTGCATCGGGTTTCATAACTGCTATGGAGTTAAGTCATCAACGCAAGCGAGTTGTCAAGATCTCAACGGGAAGCAAGCAATTTGACTCAATCCTCGGAGGGTGAGTTACCAGTATTGTGCCGGACATGCATTTATCTGACTTCTCCCTAGTGGCTTTCAGAGCATGAGTATCAGTGAAGTCTTTGGAGAATTTCGTTGCGGCAAAACACAACTGTCTCACACAATGTCCGTTGTCGCCCAGCTTCCTAAGGAGATGGGTGGTGCAGACGGCAAGGTCGCCTATATCGACACTGAAGGCACCTTCAGACCAGAGCGCATTGCTCAGATTGCAGAGAGATTTGGCGTCGATCCCGATTCTGCTCAGGAAAATATCGCTTACGCTCGAGCTCTGAACAGCGAGCACCAGCTGGAACTACTCAATACCCTGAGCAGGGAATTCGCTGGAGGCGAGTACAGATTGTTGATAATTGACAGTATCATGAACTGCTTCCGAGTGGATTACTGCGGACGAGGAGAACTTGCGGACCGTCAGCAAAAGCTGAACCAGTTCTTAATGAAACTTGCACATATGGCTGAAGGTGTGTAGTTGTCAACATCCTTCAGGATACTTTACAGAACTAATCCGGATATTTTCTCTCTCAGAGTTCAACGTCTGTGTCTTGATGGTATGTTTACTTCCGCTTCGCAGCAAATCAAGTCTCACGTCAACCTGTAGACAAACCAAGTCCAAAGCGACCCAGGCGCCAGTGCTCTGTTTGCGGGAGCTGACGGCCGTAAGCCTGTTGGTGGTCATGTCCTTGCGCATGCATCCACGACCCGAGTCCTCCTTCGCAAGGGTCGTGGTGAAGAACGTGTGGCGAAGATACAGGACTCTCCAGGTAGGTCTCCTCCCGAGAACTTCAACAGAATTGGTCTGATCGTCTGAAGATTGCCCTGAGAGAGAGGCGACCTATGTAATTACCAACGGCGGAATCAATGATCCAGACAAGGTCTAAAATCTGAGAGCGAACGTCTCCATGTATAGCATAAAAAAGCATACGATTACAATATGGGATATCCCACCCCAGGGAGCAAGATCGGCAAGCGAGATGGAAGGCGGCAGCTTGTTAAGAATATTGTTGATTTCGGGGGGTTTGCGGAAAGCCATGTATGAGATGAGATGTTAAATTGTTATGGGATGTCCTTAAATATATTTGTTCGAGTCGATTTACCATGTGCTATTCCAATGTTAGGTAGTTATGGGTTGTCGATCCTGCGTGGTCTCCGCCTAGATAGTCTCCGCCTTCCGAAATTATTTTAATTTTCCGCTAGAGCAAAACTTCTCAGTAACCAAAAAGGTATTTCTTCACGCGCAACGTTCGTAGCGACAGCTGTCGCTCATATTTCCCAAGACTGCCAAAATGAAGAAACAGTCTCTTGAAATAGCAGGTTACGCAATCCTGCCTGTACAACTCCCCGAATCACAAGCGTTTCCAAAGCCTGCAACACATTACCTCTACCTCCGGCCTCACGAACCTCGCATTCCCGACGCCGATTCTCCCCGTTCTCTTTTCGTTGTCAATGTGCCGATAGACACAACCGAGCTACATTTGCGCCACTTGTTCGGTACGCAGCTCTCCGCGGGTCGAGTCGAAAAAGTTCATTTCGAGGGAATCCCGACGAAGAAAGGTTCCGTGGCCATCGCACAGGGGAGCGTCTCGAAAAGCAGGAAGCGAAAGAGGGTTACGGCAGACGAATTGCAGAACCAACTCGACGACATTTCGCTACCATCAACATGGGACAGGGAATTGCAAAAGAGCGGTGCTCACGCCGTTGTAATCTTCGCGGACAAGTCGAGCATGGAAACCAGTCTGAAAGCCGCAACCAAAGCCGCGAAGAAGGGCGCTAAGATTGTTTGGGGCGAAGGCATCGAGGATAGATTACCTGCGCTGGGACTCCAGCGGTATCTCAACCACAGTCGGGCCTGCTACCCGGATCGGGCTGACCTGCTTCGCACGGTGAACGATTTTATGACTGTGTTTACGCAGGTTGCGGAGGCTCGTAAGCGTGAGGAGGCTCGCAGGGCTCAGGAGCCGGACGATGATGGGTTCATTACTGTCACTAGTGGGCCGAAGCTTACGTCTATTGCGCATGAAGAAGAGGCTCGGGCTCTGGTCGAGAAGCAGAAGAAGAAGCAAGAGGGCCTGGAGGACTTCTACCGGTTCCAGTCGCGTGAGAAGAGGAAGGAGAGACAGAACCAGTTGCTGAGGAAGTTCGATGAGGACAGGAAGAAATTGGAAGAAATGAAGAAGCGCAAGGGGAAGATTAGGGTGAGTTATTTCCCTTGCTCGCATTCTGGTACATATTGACTGACTACTTTGCAGCCGGAGTGATGTCTCTTGTTCAATATGTTCAACAAAATATCTGGTTTAGCATGGCGTTTAGGACGGTTGGGCCCGAAAAGTTTTCTTTCACAACATAAAGAGGGTAAAGGATTGAAGGTTATTGAGTACATGTGAGTCCATCGTCCGCCTGTTCTTCCATTTTCCGTTTGACCCAATTCAATGATGAGCTCGCTGGGGCCAGAGTAGCAAGACTCATTTCGATGTCATGCAATGTCTTCAAAAACCAGCGATAAACGGAAATCTTCTCACCTCTGAAAATTGAAGCCCTTTTTCTCATATTGCGCTTCTTCCTCAGCACATCCATCACAGGATGCTAACAATTTATCGAAACAGGTGTAGCGTCTCAAGGCTTCTTTGGTACATATTAGATATCTTAGGACGTTCAAGAAGAAATACAACACGGATCGTTAGATCCGTTTTGCCGGCGATTGTTGAAGATTAAATTTCGGACTGAGCTACTTCATCCCTGCTCCCATTACAAGCCTTGCTATAGATAATATCCACCCTTGTTTTGAGTCCAAGCGACTCATAGCCTGCTGTCTTTCTCATCCATGTACATGGTAATGTAAGCCGGCCACATGGGAGTTGCGCACAGACCAATTGAACAAAGGCTTGGCAATGACATCTTCAACCCAACATCATATGACCGATCAAGGTGTCTGAAGCATTATCGCAGGTTATATAGTTTCGCTTAAGAGCTACGGAATCCAATCAGACGAAGATAATGAGCAGTGGCGGATAGTATCTTTGGTTGAATCATACGGCTTGGTTGAACGAAATACCAGCCCGAAGAACGGGAATATATATGAAGCTCACACCTTGAGCCTACCATTGTCCGGGATTGCAGCATCCAATATTAACTATCGCCGAGTCTTGGATTGTTATTATAACCTATTCAAGTCTCTTCATCGCAACACCATCAATGGCATCAACCGCATCTGATGGCCCTGGAGCCGGGGGCTTCATCCAGCCATCTCTTCCATCACCTGCACCCTCATTTATGTCCAGCTCAACAGCGACCCCGTCCACGCTCCCAAAGCCAAGGTCACATCCGCTCAAGGCAGGGTCGATGAAAGAGACAACCGTCATCAATCATATTGACACGCACCTTTTGACAATCAACCGGCGGCACGCCAAGAAATTCAGCAGCACATACGACGACCAGTCACAGCAGGACCCGGAAAGAGGCTACGAGAGCTTCCAGGAAGTAGCGAAGGATATCGAAGCACTCGTTGATGTCCTCTGGGTTAGCGGAACACGTAGGTCCCTGTCAAATTGATTGAATTGGACTAAGTTTCCACTGACGGTTGCCCAGCATCACTGCAAGTACCGTACATGATATCTCTGGCGGTGCTGGTCAACTCGTATCTTCCGGATTTTCCGTTCTCGCCCAAGGCGACTTTCCGCCTGTTGAGAAAGTTGGACTCGGTCTTTGCTTCTCTGCTGCTCGGGGAAGATGTCGAGACCGGGGCTCCGCTGTCTGGGTTCGAGAGTAGCCGTAACCTCGTCTCCATGACGGAGAAGGTGCGGATCAAGAGCATTGCAGAGACATGTCGGGTTGCTGTTGTGGAAGCCAGGGAGAATGACGAGTCGATAGCGGGAGAGGAGGACGACGACGAGAACTCGAGTGATGATGAAAATGATGAGGATATGGATGGTGCTTATGGTACGGAAGAGTATGAAAGTATTGGGAGGTGGGAAATGGAAACCGCCAAGGTCTACGAGAGGACGATTGAACTGCTTGGGGATGAATTGGGGAAAGCGGGCGAGTTCTGCGATAGTAATTTCGCAGCTGGTGAGTCGAATGAAGCATAGGTGAATTGCAAGATACTGCACTCAGCAATTGCCCGAGTTCATCGGCTTTTCTAGACGGAATATATAATTCAAGTTTAGTGGACTCTGTCTCAGGATGCCCAATTCGACCTCATGTATTCCCGTTTCAGCACTGCGGGTGTCAACCTGGGGTCTTCTAACCCTGCGAGTGCTGGCTCAAAAGTATACAGTTCATTTTAGGCGATGCCTCGGTTGAATCTGATAAAGCTAGGTTAAAGAAACGCTCGCAGTCGACTCAAGCCGGCGCCGTCCTTTTTTCTTCCTTTCCTTGGCTCTGTCGCTATCACTGTTTTCCCATGATTCGAGGAAAACGCGTACCAAACAATGTGATGGAGCCCCATGTCAGCAGTGAAAGACTTTTCTAGAAGAGTGGATAAGACACTCCCCACTTGGTGAATAAAGCGAGATTTGAGCGTTTCTGTAGAATTGGATGAGAAGGAGCAGAAGACCACACTTCTATAAGCCATTCCAAAGGATTCTAGCTGTTATGAGAGCATATTCTACTGTCCTTGAGCAAGTATGCCCGATGTTGATATCTTGCAAATCTTCCTTCTCATCCCATCAACATACTCTATCGTTCATGTATCTTTGTTGGGGGGTGATGTGATAACTGAGAAAGTGTTGTTGGGCAGCATTGTAGTATCCGTTCCATGGTTCGATTATTACATTATAAATGCGCTTTGGAACTTTGGCTGTATGATCTTTTGGATGAAAGATGGCCCTGAGCCTGAGCACGATGAGCTTGTGTGAGTCTAAGTCCATAGTATGTAGATATGTATATACAGTAGACAGAATCCTTGTGAGTTGTGATGCTTGGTCATCAGTTGGTAGCGGGCATCTAAAAATCAAACCTGAGGCAGCTTAGGTTATGACAATACATAGTTTGGTTCCATGTCCAGGTAGGCTGGTATGGAACGCATCAGTACCAGTAGGTTACCTACTGACAGATGTATCCAAGACTGGACATTTGCATGAGTTGAGGGTCGAGATATCTGCAAGGGGCCTTGCATCCTGGGGTACGAGATTGGTATTCCACCCACTACAGTCTTAGGACAGGTTACTTGACGCAAATTGTAGCGTTGGAAAAGGCTGTTCTTGAAAGAAGGCTCTAAAGTCGATTCTTTTAAAGAGAATGAAAGAATAAGCTAGGTCCTGATCATTCTCTTCATATCAAACTCAGTCTTCTGTACGGAGTCATGCTGGTTCAGTAGTGGCCAGTACAGTATGCAAGGACAACAATCTCAGAAGCAGGGATGGCGTTCATTCACCACAGTTCGAACGGTCGAAGGGTCGAACGTTGTGCTTGTGTAATGTCCCTTACTCATGCTCAAGTGCTTCTCCTAAATGACTGACTTATTATTCATGATGATCAATCAAAAGCCCGAGAGGCCATCGCGTCTGTATCAAAATCCTAAATTGAAATGTTAATCGCGTCGCGTACGCGTGCAACGAAGCCAAGAACCTGAACTCTGAAGTAAGAATTGAGAAGGCTTCTCGAATGTCAAAGAACCGGGATCTCACACGGCTTAGGACCAAGGGTCCAAGGTAGAGTTGTGCAACAGTGAACTAATATCAATGACAAGGATTCATTGTTTAGCATTCTCTGTTCTCCGTACTGAAAACTCCCGAGGCCGAAGTTCTGTATGTAACTCCAGAAACCGCCAGTCTCTCCCTCTTGTGGAATCTAGCTTGGACACGTACCTTACAGTGCCTAGAAGGCTAGGCCATACAAGGAAACCAAAATGCATACTGAAATTTTACTGTTCAGGCAGCTTAAG